ATGGGCCCATGGAACAATAACAAGGATGACTTGGGGAAGACTTAGACTGTCCGACTAATGGGTCATCCTATCTACTTGATTATTGACCTCCTCCTCTGCTGAAGGCATCTTTCATGGGCATTTACTGGGGACAAAAGGATCTTCACATTCTTTGTTCCTTTGCAGATCTGTCCAAATACTTCTTCCTTAAATGTCTTTCCAACTTTTCATTATTTTTTCCTCTTTGTTTTTATTTTTAATTATGTCATACAATACATCCTGAATAGTCTCCCCTCCCTCCACTCCACATAGGTGTACTACTCCTCTGATTCCCTTGAGAAAAGCACAGGTCTCCTGGGGATATCAAATGAATATAGCATAAGAAGATGGAGTAAGAGTAGGCACAAACCCTCATGTCAAGGCTCAAGGAGCCAACCCCGAAGGAAGAAAAGGTTCCCAAGATGAGACAAAATAGTCAGTGACTCCCCAATCTGCCTTTGTTAGGAGCTGCACAAAAGCCCTGAGCTAAACAACCACAGTATGTATACAGAGTCCTTAGTACAGACCCATGCAGGCTCTGTGATTGCTTCTTCAGTCTCTCTAAAGCCCCATGAGCTGTGTTTAGTTGAATCTGTGGGCTCTGTTCACCTGATGTTTTGATCCCTCCTACCATCCTGCCTTCCAGTCTTCCTTGAGGTTCCCTGTTGCTGTGGGATGGTCTGTATGGCAAATGTGTTGCTGATTAGTCAATAAATAAATCACTGATTGGCCAGTGGCCAGGCAGGAAGTATAGGCAGGACAAGGAGGAGAATAAAGCTGGGAAGTGGAAGGCTGAGTCAGAGAGACACTGCCAGCCACCACGAAGACAAACAGCATGTGAAGATGCTGGTAAGCCATGAGCCATGTTGCTAGGTATAGATTAATGGAAATGGATTAAGTTAAGCTGTAAGAACAGTTAGCAAGAAGCCTGCCATGGCCATACAGTTTGTAACCAATATAAGTCTCTGTGTTTACTTGGTCAGGACTGAGTGGCTGTGGGACTGGTGGGTGACAGAGATTTGTCCTGACTGTAGGCCAGGCAGGAAAACTCTAGCTACACCCTGTGCTCTGCCTAATGTTTGGCTGTGGATCTCAGTATCTGCTCCCATCAGCTGCTGAAGAAAGCCTGCTGTGGACTGCAGCAGGAATCTTAAAAGGTCTCATTAGTAAAATCAAACCTGGAAGCCAGGTATTGGTGTGACTACTGGAAGATCAGAGAGACAGAACAGCCACAGCTACCTCACTTTGCCAATTCCTCAGCTGATCCTATTTCCTCAGATTAGAAGCCTCTGAATCCTCATCCAGAATGAATCTCACCTGAACTGTTGCTAAAAGCCTAAAAGCTTCACCAGCCAAAAGCTTCTAGTTTCTGGTCTTCACGCCTTATATATCTTTCTGCTTTCTGCCAACACTCCCTAGGATTAAAGGCTCACTTTCTGGGATTAAAGGCGTGAGTCACTATGCCAGGCTGTTTCCAATGTGGCCTTGAACTCACAAAATTCCAGAGGAATTTCTGCCTCTGGAATGCTAGGATTAAAGGCGTGAGTGCCACCATTTTCCAGCCTTTGCATCTAGTGGCTGTTCCGTTCTCTGACCCCAGATAAGTTTATTAGGGTGCACAATATTTTGGGGAACACAATACCACCAAAGTTGACGATTGAGCTAGGTACCAATCTATGAACATAAAAAAATTTCATTAGGTTTCCTTTCATTGACGTGTGTGTGTGTGTGTGTGTGTGTGTGTGTGTGTGTGTGTGTGTGTGTGTGTATGTTTGTGTGTGTGTGTATGTGGCAGTGAAGACACTGAACAAACTTCTGTAGCATGAATCTTAAAAATTCTTATTACTAAAATCAAACCTGAGGCCAGTTATTGGGGTCAATGCTGGTAGATCAGAGAGACAGAACAAGCCACAGCTATCTCACCTTGCCAGTTCCTCAGCTGGTCCTGTTTCCTCAGACTGGAAGCCTCTGAGTCCTCATCCAGAATGAATCTCAGCTGAACTGTGTTGCTCCAAAGCCTGAAAGCTTAACCAGCCAAATGTTTCTAGTTTCTGGTCCTCATGCCTTATATACCTTTCTGCTTTTTTTTTTTTTTTTTTTTTTTTTTTTTGGTTTTTCGAGACAGGGTTTCTCTGTGTAGCTTTGTGCCTTTCCTGGAATTCACTTGGTAGCCCAGGCTGGCTCGAACTCACAGAGATCAGCCTGCCTCTGCCTCCCAAGTGCTGGCATTAAAGGCATGTGCCACCACCGCCCAGCCTTACCTTTCTGTTTTCTACCACCACTCCCTGGGATTAAAGGCTTGCTCTCTGGGATTAAAAGGCGTGATGAGTCACCATGCCTGTCTGTATGCTTGAACTCATGGATTTCTGCCTCTGGAATGCTAGGATTAAAGGCGTGTGCTATCACTGCCTAACTAGTGGCTTTTCTGTTCTCTGACCCCAGATAAGTTTATTAAGGTACACAATATTTTGGGAAACACAGTACCACATTTCCTCTTTTTGTCTAAAATTTAAAAAAAGCTTATAACTAATACAAGAAAATTATATATATACAAACTTGGGATATGTATATACAATATACACAGTCAAGATTACATTAATGATGTCTAATCCATTAACATTTGACAGATTCAGATAAAAACTCCTTTATATATATTAACAATGTCCAGTCCAGTAACATCTGATAAACTCAGACCAAAAAATTTTCATTACTTCTTATTTAAAACAAGTAGTTCCTTTTAAAAGGTTGGTTCCATAATCTCCCTATTTATCTTATCATATCCATATTCTCTCTTTTTTCTTTTCATAATACATTCAGTAGTCTACCTTTTGTGATTTTTATATCTTCCCCTTTTTCTTCAGTGTAGATTCGGTGATCTACCTATATATCCTATTATTTCTTTATCTTTTTTCTCAGAGTAGATTCAATGATCTATCTCATCTTATTCTCTTTTTCTTTTTTCTTTCTAGGGGTGAAGATATCTTTAGAGAATCTTGAAAAGAAAATTTTTGGGTTAATTGTCAAGTCCTGTATCATTTGTCCAGTCTCTGCTTAATAGGAAAGTTCAGGGCTTGTCACAAGTCCTTGCTGGAGTAGTCTGTCAGGCTGGATCATCTCAGCTAATCATCTCGAAATTTTCCTGACCAGTTTGTAGTCCAAAGTCAATCTTTCCGTGGTGTTAATCGACTTAATGGTTTTATCATAGTCCATGAGGAATCATCGTTTTGGAATTCTGTCATCTTTTTGAACATTTCAAAGTCGCTGTTAGGCGTGGTCATGGTTCGCTGCAGACATTGTTTTTTGTGCCTCCTCTATGGTTTGGAGCAATCACAGTCTGATAAATGTCTGTCTCTTGGAACCATGAATGTTGTTCCCTAGAAGAGAATATCTTCACAGCAATCTCTCCCAACCATTTGTCTTGCCAAACTTTTCCAAACTGACCTTTGTTGACACTTTCTTGTAACACGAAGGTCCAGGCAATTCTTCTCTGAACAAGCAGCGGTAAAACTTTCTTCCCAGGGAGCAACATCACTGCAGTCATCAACATGATGAGAAGGAGTTGGCAACGTGGAACAGTAGCCACTGCCTCCATGGTCCCACTGCTGTTTGTGATTCGGTCTGGGCTGAAGCTTCTCCCAAGCCTCCTAGGCTGGCCTCAAACTCGGGATCCTCCTGCCTCTGCCTCCTTCAGTAAATCCTACTGGCGTGCCACCACAACCGGCTGAGTGTAGCTCGGGCTGGAGCTGGGGCCCACGACTCCAAAGGCAAGAGGCTTTTTCGTGAATTCGTAACACAAACGTTGGGCGCCAGATGTAGCAGGAATCTTAAAAATTCTTATTACTAAAATCAAACCTGAGGCCAGTTATTGGGGTCAATGCTGGTAGATCAGAGAGACAGAACAAGCCACAGCTATCTCACCTTGCCAGTTCCTCAGCTGGTCCTGTTTCCTCAGACTGGAAGCCTCTGAGTCCTCATCCAGAATGAATCTCAGCTGAACTGTGTTGCTCCAAAGCCTGAAAGCTTAACCAGCCAAATGTTTCTAGTTTCTGGTCCTCACGCCTTATATACCTTTCTACTTTCTACCACCACTCCCTGGGATTAAAGGCTTGTTTTCTGGGATTAAAGGCGTGATGAGTCACCATGCCTGTCTTTATCCTTGAACTCATGGATTTCTGCCTCTGGAATGCTAGGATTAAAGGCGTGTGCTATCACTGCCTAACTAGTACCTTTTCTGTTCTCTGACCCCAGATAAGTTTATTAAGGTACACAATATTTTGAGAAACACAGTACCACAAACTTCCACAGCTGAGCAGATCTGGATGGACTAAAATGGCTTTCTATAAACAGAAACAATACTGGAATCCACAAGCTGATTTTAACATTTTTATTCATTTTGTATTTTGGGGAGTTAAGTACTGTCTACAGAGATGTTTGTGCCCATAGAGACAAGAGGAGAACTGTACAAGATCCTCTACGAGAGCAACAATTGCTTTTGCCAACTGAGTCATCTCTCCATTCCCACACACTGAGTTTGGAGAAAATGTCTTCATTCTCTTCCCCTTCTCTTGTATTCAAATATTCAGGTTTGTTTTTTTCCTTTCTGAGTCCTTGACAATGTGTTCTTCTCAGTCCAATCCAGACAAGTTTCTCCAAAGAAACCCTGTTGTAATGTGCTTGGGGCCAGCAATTAATATGAATTCCAGTTTACAACTCATTGGACAAAAATCAAACCAGTACAGCAACAGGGAAAAGGCTGAGTAGATTGTACCAGAGTCCAGACCTTCCCCTCCCCCAGCCTTCCATTCAACTCATTTCCACCTGTATTAAAGCCTCATCCACCATCTGTCTTTCCCCAGATTCACTGTAAATGCTATATAGGTCCCATAGTCTACCCAGGTGTAATCGATAACTACACTGGCCGCTGCGTCTGGGAGACACATGTGGGTCACAGCTGACCAGGTACTAGGGTCGATTTATGGGTTTCAGGGGGGCTGCCGGAAAGAGCGGTGAGCAGAAGCCAGGGAATGGTATGCTTCGGCTACCAAGTGGGGACATGACTCCACCATTGTCTTCCAGCCTGAGGTCTCAGAGACCTCAGAAGCATGTGCTGTAATGAAATCCAGTGCCTGGGTTTTCAGCTGCCCTGCTCTATGGAGGTCAGCCAGGTAGAGATTGTGGGCAGCATTCTCCACAGAGAGGACCCTGCAGAGGGCATCCTCACACATGACCTTCAAATGCTCCAGGCCATACCTGTCAGCAGCTGCCAGCAGAACATCTGCCATGCTGTCGAGGTCTGGTGTTTTTCCTGTATAAATGAAGCCCATCATTGCCTTGAAGACTTGTGGCTCCAGGTCAGGGATCTCAAAGCGGTTCTTTCTGCTCTCCTCCATGTCACGTTCAAACATGGCTCTGAACACTGGAGAGCGAGCTGCTAAGATGGCCTTGTGAGCCTGAAATTCCTGGTCAGCTACCACCAGGCAGCAGTCTGTGAATTGGGAATTCTCCCACAGCTCTCCTAGCTCATCTGCCAATGTGCATCTAGGAACCTGAATTCTTGGCTTTCTGTTCTGGTCAGAGGTGCTCAAAGAGTCGTCAACCATGCTCACCTTGCAGAGGAGGGTGAGCTTGTCATCTGGGAGAAGCCAAGGCACAAACGACAAGAGGAAGTTTCGAAGGATGAACTTTTTAAATCCCAGTTCAACACCTGGTTCGAACCAAGAGACTATAGGTTTGCTCTCACCGTGGGTTGTCTCTCCTTTGGTGCTTAATATGAAGAACTGGAACTTTGCCCAAACAGGACTCTTTAGACAGCTGAGCAACACTAGGTAAACTGACAGGTAATCTGCACTTTCTTCATCCACTCCCTTCGGGTGTACTCTCAAACACCATTTGTCATTGGCTCCTATTGAGAAAGTTGGGCTTGTAATGCTTTCCTGAATTTCCTCCAGAAAAAAATGGAAGTTGCTGATGGTCCAACTGTAGAAAATATTCTGGACGCTGATTTGGGTGTGGTCACATCTCTGGGCTGTCTGGTCCCCTGACATTTCTGGAGGTAGTTTGAAGGTTAAACTGGATCCAAAATGAAGAACTAGCAATTGTTTCCTCTTCACTCTGAGGGATACAATAATAGACATGGTTTAGATTTTTAGTTTCTATTTCTGTTCCATCTTCTATGAGGGTGGAAACTTGGGTCTGAAATTTTCTATCCAGATTTCAATACTAGTTTCAGAGAAGACAGTGTAGGCTACTAGGGATTCTTATATCACTCCATTTTTTTCTAGATTGAATCTTAGGTCAATAGGTACCCAGTTTTCATAATTATAAATAACTTTTGAAAATTTGGAACATTTTGTACACTCATATCAAAAATGTTATACTAGGGTTCTGCAGAGTAACAGAACATATATAATTATTCTTTCTGTGTATGAACAAAGGGGATTCATTAGAATGACTTAGGGCTGCAGTCCTGCTATTCCCACATTGGCTAGCTGTGAAGGGAAAATCCAAGAATCTAGTACTTACTCAGTCCAGGAGGTTGGATGTGTCCCTGGGTCTTCAGTATATGCTGGAATTCTGAAGGAAAATTCTCTATTGCCGGGGAAGGAATGGACTTGCTACAAGGTGAGGGCAAGCAGGCAAAGAGCAAGAGCTTCCTCCTTCCATGTCCTTTTATATGCTTCCAACAGAGGGTGTGACCCAATTTAGGGTGTGTCTTCCAGACTCAAGATCTGGATTAAAGGTGTGTGTCTTCAGGCCCTGAGATTCGGATTAGATGTTTGTTTCTTTTTACTTTCAAAGTCTGTATTTGAAGTGTATCTACCTACTTCAACTTAAGCAAAACATTTCTCACAGTTTTGCCCTCCATATTAGGATTTTAGTTAATTCCATGTCTACTTGGGTTGAGAATCAAGAATAACCACCAAAAGTGTATTTTGCTTTCTGTGGTTCATCTTCTGTAAAATAAGGGTTTGTGTCCATTCCACAGAGCTGTTATCTACTCTTACAGGGGTTTTACACTAATTCCTGCCACTAACATGATCCAGGAGAGGTGTTTTCCTTACCCTGTCAGGGGACTCAGGGTTCACAACATGGAGGTCAGGGAGTAAGAATTCATAGACGGTGGGTAAGAAGCAGAGCAGGAGGGAACCCTGAAAGTGACAGTCTGTTTTCCTGCCTTTTATTCATCCAGACTCACAGTCCCCAGGATGGCACCACCAACTTTCCATAGTGGTCTCTCCCTCCCCCTCAGATAATCCTCTTTGGAAACACTCTTCCAGATCCAATTAAGGGTGTGCTAAGTGCTTCTCAATTCCATCATGCTTACTGCCAAGTTTCAGCTTCTTAATACTTCATAATTTCCATCCTTCACAGGTGAGTTCTGTCCTCTTTAAACTTTCAACTTCCATGCTTACTTTGCTAGGACTTCAAAGAGAGATAGGATAACAGGGTGTGGTATGTAAAATGAAAAAAAACTTTAAATAAATAAGCAAACAATTTTTAAAAAGTGAGACCACATTCTGGTTTCCAAATAGTGAAGAAAATATTCAACAGTTACCAAAGAAGGGGTTTTGAGACTGTTCCCCTTAGAATGTGATCTGTTAAATACTCCCCACATCTATCATCTCTCTCCAGTTCATCAGATCTGGAGAGATTCACTAAGCCTAGATGACATGAAGGTACCTCAGTGATTCAATCAACTCAGCAATTCCCAGCCTAGCTCTCCTGAAAGTCTGATTCCAGTGCTGTTCATCCCTCAATACAGAATACATCAATCAACTGGTTTTGATGCCTAAATTTTTGTTTCCTCTTAGGAACCTTTGGCAGGTGACTAACTAGTAACATCAGTGACTGTTCTCCATGTGGGTTTGCGGTCAGAGTGGCAGATACTGCTTCCCTCAAACTCTCTGGTCCTGGGCTTTTTTTCTGGTGGGGAGACTTTTAGTGATTATGCTATTTTACTGGGTTTGTTTAAAACACATGTCTGACCTTGATTCCATTTTGGTAAGTGGGACCTATTGTTTCTGATTTTGTTTATCTTGGTGCCCTTAGATGGATCTGGAAGACTGTTTCCAAGTAGGATTATCTGAGAGGCAGGGGAAGGACCACCACCAAAGTTTGTTGGAGTCATCCTGGGACTGTGGGTCTGGATGGAATAAAAGGAGGAAAGAATAGAGTTACCTTCAGGGGTTCCTGGCTATGATTCCACCTTACCATGTATGAGGTCTTCACCTGCCATCCATGTTGTGAAAACTAAGACCACTGACACATTAAGGAAAACACCCCTTCCATGATAGTGTTTATAGCAGCAGTCATTGTAATAACATACAAGAGTTAATAATAGCTGTGCAAATGTTGACATGATCCCTTACTGATGGAAGACTAACCAAAGAAATAACACACCCTTGTGATGGCTATTATTGGTTCTCAACTTGACTATATCTGGAATTAACAAAACACCAAAATTGAGTGCACACCTGTGAGAAATTATTGCTTAAGTTGAAGTAGATAGATCCATGTTAAATAAGGACTTTTGAGGAAGGAAGACACACACCTTTAATCCAGACCTAGAGGCTTGGGGATACACCTTTAATTGGTGCTATTTCATTTTTTAATAACTACATATTATTCACCACTTACATATTCTCTTTGATGATGATGTCTCTGCTAAACTCTTGTTTTAAAAAATTATACTAGACCTTTGTTTTGCTTTCTCTTATATTTAATTTTTGTGTGTTTGGGTTTTTGAGTTTAAGCCACTTAAGAAGGACAGCCTCAACTCAAATGAACTGTTTCCCAGGGCTCCCCTTAAACTCCCTGTGTATTCCAGGCTGCCACTGCAGACTGCCATTGCTTCCTGAATATAATTAAAGAAGGACATCACTGTTTCCAGCCTCCAAATCTGTTCTTTGAGGAGGAGGACATATTTAAAGGTGTGGACCTTGACTGGGGTCTTATTGAGTTTCTTTTGGTTTTGGAGACAAGTTCTTGTTTGGTATGCCCAGACACACCTATCAAACATCCAGGATTCCTAATTCCTCTGTTTCCCAATGCAAGCCTAAGCCAAAGAAGGAAGAGTAAATTATACATTCATTACATATATGGAGGAAATATAGTTAATTGGACCTATTTCTAGACATTTTTCACAATGACCTTCCTGCATATAAGCAATCCTCCTAAGCCTGTCTCAAGAGTATCTTGAGCTGTATGGGTTAACCATACACACAATGAAAAGTAACTTTCAGCCTGATTTGGGTTTTTTCCCTTTCTGTTTTTGAAAGGGAGTGTCCTTCCACAGTCTTGACTGTCTTTGAACTTATTCTATAGACCAAGCTGACTGAAAAATATAGAGATCTGCCTACCTCTGCCTTTTGAGGCCTGGTATCAAATGTTTGACTTCTTAAATCCTTAGAGAGACAATAATAAAATGATTGGCAAGGGCAGGAATAAGACATACTGAAAAAATATTCTTTTTTTTTTTTCTTTCTCGAGACAGGGTTTCTCTGTGTAGCTTTGTGCCTTTCCTGGAACTCGCTTTGTAGACCAGGTTGGCCTCGAACTCACAGAGATCCACCGGCCTCTGCCTCCCGAGTGCTGGGATTAAAGGCGTGTGCCGCCACCGCCTGGTGAAAAAATATTCTTAAATTAGTGGAATGTAAGTGGTAGGCCCTATGTACTCTAGCACTCAGAGCCTGAGGGGATGTAATCGAGAGTCCTCTGGCCTGGGCTGTCTACTGAGTTTCACCACAGCATGAGGAGATGGAAGAAAACAAGAGGGAGACATAAAGACATTTCTCTCCACCTTTGAATTTGGCTTGATTTTTCTCTTGCCCCCTGCCCAAAGCAGAACGAGATTTTTCTCATGGTCTCTGTGTTTCCATATATGTTTATATATTTACTTCATTGTTTTTTTTTTTTATTTTAAGACTGTCTTGCTGCATTCCTTTCACCTCATCCTCACAGGTAAGAAGATTATGCATGAGCACCACCCATCCTGACTCTTGACCCCTTTAAGGAATGCTCTGGAGAATAAATAAATCTTAAATATTCAGTGAGTCTCTGACATCCTCTACTTGATCTCCAGGCAGCATTCTTCTCTCTGTGGTATTGCACATATGCATGCTATCATCTGTGGGCAGCTGCATCTGTGTGTTTTGCAGGAGATAAAGTCAGGAATGTCCAACATGTTAGGCAAGTTCCCTACTTCTGAACTATATATATTTTCACACTTTACCCTCCTTGGGCCTTCCCTTCATTTCTTCCTTTCTTAAGGCTCATCACTGTCTCAAAGAGATCTGGTTCCAGCAAGGACACACAACACTTGGCACTGTAATTCTGAGGTGGATGTTACTCATTCTTTGTTGTGTGGGGATGATAGACCCCAGACCCAGGGTACTACCTTCTCAGTTGGGCGCCCCAAGAACCCAGACTCCAGTCCAGTTGATGCAAACAGCAAGAGGTTTATTGATGTAGCTGTATAATCAGTCGGGCTACTCTCCTTCCAAGAGCAAGAGTCGTGTCTACTGCAGCCACATGGGCACTTTTAAAGGAAAAACCCACAAAAGCCATAAGATTACAATTCCCATACAATTTTGTTTCGATTGATTTATGGCTAGAGTCTAATTTCACAAGATCATGGCCTGATCACAGGGTGGGGACAGTCACGTTCGCATGCACATTCTTCCCAAAACCTCAAGGGGTGGGAGTGAAGTTTACACAAAGGTTAGAGTGGTCTTTCCTGGAACACTTGCAATTATCCCAGTCACAGTTGAGCACATCTCTTAACAGAAATCTCTTTACATTGTTACATTGTGGCAGGGGTGGCTGAGTCAGTTTGCCCTTGGAACTAGCTTTTTAGTTCCTCATTCAACTGGGGCTTGGGGTGTGTGTAAGCCTGAAGGGTTAGGGTCTTTCAGGGACATGGAGATTCACATCTCTAATCTCAGAACTCACAGAGTATAAGACTTTGGGACCAATCTGCTCTACATCAGGAATTCTAGATAGGCACAACTACCTAGTGAGATCATATCACAAATTAATAGTGATA